ACCCTCCTAAATGTGATGGAACCGATTCATTTTCAGCAGATTTTTTAAAATCAATATACTGTAATTCCAATTCACAGTGGGGAATTTAATTGTGATTCCTCCTGTTAAGGAATTACCTGTTAAAGTAAGTTTGGGTTTCTGGAACACCTGTTCAGTTGATCATTCAAAAAATGGTAAATGGGATTTGGGACTGTGCAGTAGAGGATTGTGCTGGTTCAGTTCCTTTCTCCATGGCCAGGTCCATTTGGTGTTGTTAGGGGGTGAGAGGTCCTGTCCATGGCTGTTCCTTTGTGGGATACTGCAGTGCTTAGTACTTTCTCCATTCTTTTTAATATCTACTGTATAAAAAACGGCTGGGTGACTGACACCACAGGATGAGATATCATCAATATGCTGACGACAGCTTTACATCTCCATCCCTGGTGATCCAAGTGATGTTGTGGCTGCCATTTTACAGTGCCTGGGGGCTGGATGGGGAACAACAGGCTGAACCCTGGTAAGACTAAGTCGCTGTGGCTACATGGAGCCTCGGGATCAGGAGGCTTATCATCTTTAGTTCTGGATGGGATGGCACTCTCTCATATAGACCTGGTGAACAACTCTGGGGTTCTCCTAGACTTGCAACTCCTACTCAAAGAGCAGGTGGCCGGTGTGGCTAGGACAGACTTTACACAATTTCATGTTATGTGCCAACTGCATCATTTTCTGGATCCTGAGGCTCCTGGACTCAGTCAGTCATCTCTTGTTTGGATTATTACAATACACTTCACAGGGGACTACCTTTGAATAGTATTCGGAAGCTACAATTGTCCAAAATGCGGCAGTGCAGAAAGTTTAAGAAGCCCCTAAGTTGGCACATGTAACGCCACACTGTTATGTAAGCTGCCCTGGTTGCCAATCTGCTTCTGGGTCCAGTTCAGGGTGTTGCTTATTACGTTTAAAGCCCTCTATGGCATAGGTCCCCAATCGTTTGGGCACCAGGGACCGGTTTTGTGGAGAGAGGTTTTTCCGCGGACCGGAGGGGGCGTGGTTTCATGTACTGCCTGTATCCCGTGGATGGGGCTTTGCTTGTTTGTGCAGACCCATTTCTGACATGCTGTGGTCCGGTGCCAGTCCACAGACCAGCGGTTGGGGATCCCTGCTCTATGGCATAGATCCAGGATATCGGAGGGTCTGTCTTCTCCTGATCCTATTGTCCTGCCCCACTCATGCTGATAGAAGAGGCCTCCTGCAAATCCCATCAGCTAAGGAATTTTAGCTGGTGGGGTCTAAGAGAAGAGATTGTTTTTTTGCCTCGGTCCCCATCCTTTGGAACATCTTGCCACTGGAAGTGAGATCTGCCCCATCTCTTCTGACTTTCAGGAAAAGCCTTAAAACCTGCCTAGGCTAGATGGCACGGGGCTCTGAAGGAGAAATTCCAGACTTGGTGTAATAACAATGAAGGCATCACCCCTGCTCCACTCCAAGGCTGGGTTTTTATTAGATCGCTTTTAATCTTCTGTAATTTTAATCTGTTCTTAATATTTATAATTGTTTTCATATCAATATGTTTTATTACACTGTAAACTGCCCGGAATTGCCTTGAACTGCAAGATGGATGGCATCTTAGAAAGAATCTTATACAGGTAGTCTTCAACTTACAACCACACTTTAGCCCAAAATTTCTGTGAAACCTTTGTTAAGTGAATTTTGCCCCATTTGACGACCTTTCTTGTCACAGTTGTTAAGTGAATCACTGAAGTTGTTAAGTTAGTAAGTGAGTCTGGCTTCCCCACTGACTTGGGTTGTCAGAAGTTCGCGCAGAAGCTGATCACATGACCCCAAGACACTGCGACCGTCATATATGTGAGTCTGTTGCCAAGTGTCTGAATTTTGATCCTCTGACCACGGGAATGCCGCAATAGTCATTAATGTGAAAAACGGTCATAAGGCACTTTTTTCAGTGCCGTTGTAACTTCAAACGGTCGCTAAATGAATGCTGTAAATCAAGGACTACCTGTAATAAGAACCTATGTTTTACCACATTATGACAAATTGCGAACATTTTGACCAATGTCTACGTATCGTAAAATAAAATAATCATAACAATAACACGCATGGGATCCAGAGTTCAGCAGCATCAGCAAGCAGGTCCCTTCTCTGCTTGGTGCTTATGATGCCATAAACAAAACCCAGGAGCTGCACCTTTAATATGTGTAACGATGCTAAGAAAAAGACTCAGGCATGTCTTGAGCAGAGGTTTTGAAGCTGCATGACACAGCTTCACACAGCTTCTCCAACTCTGAGTTTATTCTTTTTTATATACTTTTTACATACATAGGCTTTACCATTAACTGCTGACATTTTACATTTAGAAGTTTAACCTTTAGTTGTTGACATAAAGTAATTGAAAAATTCCTTCATATAAGCAATTATTTTCTAGTAACACATTACCTGTTGAGAGCAGTTAAAAACAAATACAGGTAAATTAGAAAAGGAGAAAGAACTGATAAAGACAAGAAGAGATAAAGACAGGAAGAGATAAGGGGGAACTTATTATTTAGGTAGGTAAGATATTAAGTCAAAAAGGGGGTGATCTTTTGGCTGCTTCCTTGGGACAAAGGGTATCAAAAGGTTATGAGTTTTGTGGGGGGCAATGCACGGCAGTTTGCTGCACGTGCAAATTCCTCCACAAATATGCAAACAGGTTTTGAGCTGGCATCATGCATAATATTGTACGGAATGGAGAAAACTACAGGTCGCCCTCAACTTACTGTACAACAGTTCACTTAGTGATCATTTGAAGTTATAGCAGCACTAAAAAAGTGTCTTATGACTGTTTTTTCACACTTACAACAACACTAAAAAAATGACTTATGTGCTGTGATTCCTCGCCAGCCAGTGGACCCGGTAGCTGAATCTGAGGAATCAGAGGAGGAGGAGGAGGGGCCTGGAGTGACATCAGAGTCAGAGGAAGGCTCTGAGGAGCTCCAAGACTTACAGTCTGATGAGGAGCCTGGCCCCTCTACTCACGCTCAGGCTGAGCCACAACTGTGTTGCGAATCTGAGTTGGACACGGATGAATCACAGCTGGGAGATATCCCAGATGCATGTAAAAAAGAGAGTCGGACAGAGGAATGCAATGGGGCGGCTCCAAAGGCAAAGGAGAAGGCATTAGGAAGCCACGCCTTGACTGCATAATAAAAGGGAAGGTGTGGGAGGTGCTGGTTGCCAAAGGCAACCGTTCGTGTTGAGGATCAAGTTTCTGTGAACTGTGTTTGTTTGCCTTGAACATTGACTCAAGTCTGTGAATAATAAAAGAGGATTGGTTTTTTCCTGCAGTTCCAGCCTGCCTGTTGGAAGAGGAGTTTCTTCTTGTGAGCTTAACAAAGACTCATGTAGGCTGGGACAGAACATTATGATAGTTTTTCACACTTACGACCATTGCAGCATCCCCGTGGTCATGTGATCAAAATTCAGATGCTTGACAACTGACTCGTATTTACGACAGTTGCAGCGTCCAGGGTCACGTGATCCCCTTTTGCAACCTTCTGACAAGCCAAGTCAATGGGGGGGGGAAGCCAGATTCACTTAACAACTGTGTCACTCACTTAACAACCGCAGTCATTCATTTAGCAACTGTGGCAAGGAAGGTTGTGTAATGGGGCAAAATTCACTTCACAAATGTCTCGCTTAACAACAGAAATTTTGGGCTCAATTGCGGCTGTAAGTCGAGGACTACCCTATACTGTCAGCAACTGTGGTTACTGATGCAGTACGGTTGTTCCCTGGAAATTAATCTGACAATTCACAAAGGCAACCAGAGAGGTACAAACAGGCCTTCAAACTAATATTTCAATACGGGAACTAAACCATTTGTAAGCATTTCTGAGTTGTATATAATTGCCCTTTGTCTATTATGATCTATGACCCTCACTCGGCCTTGTGCCTTTTTATGGCAGGCAGAAATCCGGGAGATGCAGTGCAAACATTTTAGATAAACACTAGTAAAGATGCTACAAATCAATCCAGTTTTGGGGATAAAGGTCATATTTAGAAGCTTTCTTTGGTTCATTTCTCCACAGAGATAGTAATGCGCTTGGAAAGCGGCGGAAGCTACTGCTAAATCCTGCATTTTTAGTTGGTTTGTTTGTCTGCTATTTCCCACAGGGTGAACTGCTTTATTTTTCTTCTCACTTTCATTTGTTTCCAGGAATATTTCATTCTAGAGGTATAGACGTTTTTATTATTTGCAGTTATCCAAGGAGTTCCAAAAAGATTTGATGGACTGAGCCTCTCAGGAGGAAAAGCAAAGCAAAATGTAACAAATACTGTTATGAATGTGCTTACAGTGCCAAGTGCATCTTTTTTTTATCATCCAAGAATCTCCCTCACTGACATTAAGCTAGAATTATTTATATTTTTAATTGGCAGAGCTGGATACAATGACAATGTTGTTTGCAATGAAATACAACATACAAAGCACATTTATTGGTGCCTGGAAATCTAATAGTAGTCTTCCTTTGGCTGTATTGTACCATAGGCTAGCCCAGGGGTAGGCAACCTTGGCTCTTTTAAGACACATGGACTTCAACTCCCAGAATTCCTTAGCCAGCCATGGCCCTGGCCCTCTCTGAAGGTTTTAAACACAAAAAACCATAATTCATAGCTTTTCACCTGTACCAATAGACCCAAATTGGTTGACTTCTCTTGGTTCACTGTGAACGGGCTGTATGTTGTGCATCTGAAAGTCTTATACATAAAAACAATATTCAATACCCAGTTCCTTCTTTTGCAGAGAGGAAATGGTTTCCATCTGTCCCTTGCTCTGGCAACGGTCAGAGTTGTTACTGTCTTATTTTTTTATTGACTGTATGAGAACTAACGCCCCCCCCCCATGCTCATAAAACACATAAAATCAGATGTGCTTGTTATTTTAAATGAAAATATGTGAGATACTTGTTTACTTGCTGATAACCAACATAAGCCTAAAAAAAAAAAAAACCCAAAAATCACAACAAGCAAATGTTGCTGTTATTTGTTCAGGCTGGACTGAAAACAACAGTTCAGCTGTCACATAAATGAATCCATACACAATAAACAGCACATTCGGGTCTCAAAGGCAATCTGTGTTCTACTTAATCCAGGGCTTACCATCACTATATTGGCCAAATGAGCAGAAATAAGAGCATACACCCCTCCAGATGAACCCACAACCGGTGCAGTCATATCAGCGATGGACACTGCCAAGGAACCTTGGAGAAATACAAAAAAAAAAAAAAAAAAAGTAAGTACAAATGACTGCCCAATAAAACACTTCCTACCTTTTTCTGTGAATACAGGTAGTTTTCAACTTACGGTCACAATTGAGTCAAATTGAACAAAATTTCTGTTGCTAAGCGAGACAAGTTAGTTAAGTTAGTTTTGCTCCATTTTACGATCTTACTTGCCACAGCTGTTAAGTGAATCACTATAGTTAATTAGTAACCTGGTTGTTAAGTGAATCTGGCTTCCCCATTGATTTGGCTTGTCAGAAGGTAGCAAAAGGGGATCAAATGACCCCAGGACACTGCAGCTGTCCTAAATATGAGACAGTTGCCAAGCGTTTGAATTTTGAAAATGTGACCATGGGGATGCTGCAGTGGTCGTAAGTGTGAAAAAGTATTGTAAGTTATTTTTTTAGTGTTGTTGTAACTTTGAACAGTCATTAAATGAACTGTTGTAAGTTGAGGATTATCTGTACTTTGTAGAAAAAGGCATTTAAGGATTCCGAGAGTCCAACCCCCAATCATTATGGACATTTCACAGTGAAACAGAAACAGCTTGCAATTATCTTCTACCAAGATTTTTTTTTTTCAATAACCCAAATCAGGTCAAAAACCTTAGGACTTCTTCTTGGTCTTATATCCCAAGGATCCCCAAACCCCAGTCCATGGACCAGTACTGGGCCACGGCATGCCAGAAATCGGTCCGCGCAAACAAGCATAGCAACACCCGCAGGATGCAGACAGTACACGAAACCACGGAAACCTCTCTCCCCAGAACGGATCCCTGTTATATCCGATGAGATCCAATCCTCTTTTAACTTTTTTGAGATCAGCCAAGATTGGGTAACTACTGCCATCTGCTGTGACAAAAGGGCTAATATCATTTTACTGTCCGATAAGTTGTCTGTTATTCAGTTTTTTACAGAGAAAGATAATCAACGTGTCCTCAGTAAGTAGGGAGGATCATACATATTTTTCACCGTGGAAGCAACAATTGTTTTAGTGATCGCTTTTGAAAAAGATTAGGTCAGCTTCCTTTTCAGCTAGCAGAATTCATTATAGGATTTTGTGGGATATGTCCTAGGCGTCTGTAAAATGTACTTTTTAAAGTAAAACATTAAAAATTCATAAAGCATTTAATGGGTCCAAAATTAGGGTGTTTCAGTCTTACATCCTGAGGGGAGTTGTTGTTGAGTTTAAATGAAAGTCTGCTTGCCAGATGTATTAAATATAATTACAGATTCTTTCATAGTGCTTCAAGAATTTAGGTTACCATCCTGTTTTGGAAGAGTGCATTCCACTAGAAGCAAAGGCATTTTCTTTTCCCAATAGGCCTTTGACTTGGCCATGGCTTAACTCTTATTCCTTGATTGCCTTTCTGGTCTCTACAGTACAGGTGGTCCTCGCCTTATGACCACAATGGAGCCCAACATTTCTGTTGCTAAGTGAGACGGTTAGGTGAATTTTGCCCCATTTTATGAATTTATTGCCATAGTTATGAAGTGAATCACTGCAGTTGTTAAATTAGTAACACGGTTGTTAAGTGAAGCTGGCTTTCCCATTGACTTTGCTGGTCAGAAGGTCGCTAAAGATGGTCACATGACCCCGGGAAGCTGTAACCGTCATAAATATGAGTCAGTTACCCAAGCGTCTGAATTTTGAACATGTGACCATGGTGATGCTGCAGAGGTCCTAAGCGTGAAAAACGGTCATAAGTCACTTTTTTCAGCTCCGTTTTTTCGGTCACTAAATGAACTGTTGTAAGTTGAGGACTACCTGTATTGTTGCTTTGAGCCTGACCTTGTACAATTGCTTTGAATATCGTTTCCTTTTTTATGGTTTCTATATCTTGTAAACCACTTGCATCGGCTCCTTTTGCAAAAGAGAGGAATGGTGTCAAGCAGCTGAAATAAAACCTTTGAGTTCACATGTTCACCGCTGGACGATTCTTCAAACCTGATGAATCAAAACGATGCCCTACTTGGTCCAATATATTCTCTCTCCCAGCAGCTGTTCAGAGGCCCCAGTAAGAGGCCACAAACAGGTCATGAGTTGGTGCTTGGCCCTCACCAGTCATAAACATTTCACAGCTAAACTTAAAATATTTCAGGAGAATGAGGGTCACAGTGGGATGGGCGATAACGCAAGCTAGGTGGAGCTGTGATAACACATAATATCATGGAAGCTAAATTGGAAGGGGGCAAGTTCTAGGTTCTGTTCTTTTCTTAAATGTTCATTAGTGTATTGATGTGTCTTGCCTCAGACTGGTGGGAAACTGCACCATTGATTTTTACTAACTATGATAAGAGACGACTCTATTAGGCACACAGCAGTAATTTGGGACCTGCATACAGCACATCCCTTTTGCAACATTCTAGACAGGAATCAAGCTATTGGGGTTTATAAAACATAATTGGCTTAGCATTCTGGGTGCATCCGGCTATTGTAGCCTATTCAATAAAGCAGCATTAAAACAAATTATGAGCTAATGTGACTGTTGGTGTGTTTACTATATTTTTTTTTAACTTGCTTGCACAAAAGACATTTCAATCATGTGTAGTATTGTGTGGGAAACGAGTGGTGCCCAGCTCAGAAGCCAAAGAAAACGCCACGATAATAAACCGTGAGACTCCAGTTCTCTTTTTCTGCTTGGTTGTTTTGATTAAGTGAATAAAAATTTCCAGGTTGTAACCAGCCAACAGTTTATGGGCAACCAACTGGTAAATTACACTGCAAAAATCACTTCAGGGGAGAATTATTGCTCGCTGAAGTTAATTGCAACAAGACTGTCTTTGCTGTAGTTATTGCCAGGATAGCCATGTGCTTGTTAACAGCTTTAGAAATCAAATGAAAAGTACACTGATCGTGATGTAACGTGCGGTAACAGGGCCCCTTGATGGAACATGGTTTACAGAGCTGTCTGTCTAATAAATGTTTGGAAATAAAATAATGGAGAGATGATGTACAAAGCTAAAGCTGGCATAACAACAAATTCATACCCAGAAAAAAAAAAGCTTCATGCAAGATAAAGATAAAGGATAGTGGAAGGTACAGGAAAATTTATTTCTTCTGACTCTCCACTTCCATCCTATGTTTCTGGTCCAAAGAACACTCTCTGGAGACAATAGCACAGGTAGTCCTCAACTTATGACCATAATTGAGCCCAAAATTTCTGTTGCTAAGTGAAACATTTGTTAAGTGAGTTTTGCCCCATTTTATGACTTTTCTTGCCCTAGTTGTTAAGTATATCACTGTTAAGCTAGTAACTCAGTTCTTAAGTGAATGTGGTTTCCCCATTGACTTTGCTTGTGAGAAGGTCACATGACCCTGGGCCACTGCAACCGTCATAATCATGAGTCAGTTGCCAGGCATCTGAATTTTTATCACGTGATCACGAGGATGCTGCAATGGCTGTAAGTGTGAAAAACGGTCGTAAGTCACTTTTTTCCAATGCCATTGTAACCTTGATGGTCACTAAATGAACTGTTGTAAGTTGAGGACTACCTGTAATGGCTCCATTATAATTAAGCTGGATATTGCTTAGCTAAAGAGAATTGGCCTCTAGATAACTTTTTTAAAATCACACGGGAGTTAAAACCAGCTCTTCAAATTATAGTCAAAAACCTACTGGAAATCAATGTAACTGTTTCCAGGCTGGTGCTGTCACCAACCCACCACAGGAGTTCTGCTGCCTTTTCTGTCAATTGCAACGTCTGAGTATCCTTCAAAGGCAGCTCAGTGTAAAGTTCCTGCAAGTAATCAGGGTTAGTAGTAGTGGCCTGAGTCACCACTGCCAGGGCTTCCTGTGCTAAGTAGGGCCACAGATGATGTCTCGAGTGAACCTGGTAAACGCCCTCCAGCCATGACTTTTACCTGTGAACCCAGCAGGAGCCAGAGGTCCAGGAAGCTCCCTTCTCCGTAGACTTGAGCTGGGCACCCAGCTGACAATTTCCACATCTCTCCCCAGCCTATTGCTCCAGCAACTTTACAATCACGAATCACCCAACGGTTGCTAGAATTGGGTATGTCTAGTTTAACGAAGAGAAGGACGAGGGGGGACATGATAGCAGTATTCCAATATCTCAGGGGCTGCCATAAAGAAGAAGGAATCAAGCTATTTTCCAAAGTGCCTGAAGGCAGGACAAGAAGCAACGGGTGGAAACTAACCAAGGAGAGAAGCAACCTAGAACTAAGGAGAAACTTCCTGACAGTTAGAACAATTAACCAGTGGAACAACCTGTCTCCAGAAGCGGTGAATGCGCCAACACTGGAAGTTTTTAAGAAGAGACTGGACAGCCACTTGTCCGAAATGGTGTAGGGTTTCCTGCCTGAGCAGGGGGTTGGACTAGATGACCTCCAAGGTCCCTTCCAACTTTACTACTATTATTATTATCAGCTGCTGGCTCCCATCATGTCAGTGGCCTTTCTTAGCTACCCAATCCTCTTCTCCGCCATCCTTCTCCAGCACTGCCCATCCTTCCTACCTTCTTAGGATCAGCCATCCAAATGGAGTCACTGCTCGTAGCACCCATTCAGGCTGATCAATCCCTCACCCAATCTTCCACAAGCTCTGTGACCCTCCTCTCACCTCCATGATTTCCCTAAATTGACTCGGTTCCACACAGACAGCTAAAACTACCCGACCAGGGCCATTGGCTGTCCTAGCAAGGCACCATGTTACTTCAAAAACGTTTGTATCTCCCACAAAGGCTTCTCTTCTGCCTAAAAAAAAAATCTTTTGGCTTCTTTGCCAGTTTCCCCTTCTAGACTCCAGCCGCTTTTCAAGCAGGTTAACTCAGATGTGAAAGGCTGACTGACCTGTTTGTTTGTTTGTTTGTTTCCTTATTCTCAGCCATCTTACACAATTAAAACAAAAACAAAACAAAAAACCAGCCACAGAACTGAAATAACATACCGTCCAAATCTCGAATGTGAAATTAAACTAGGAGAGAATAATAAAAACAACAGCAAAGAGCAGGGGTTGTTACTGACAGACTCTTAGGAAATAATAGTAATAATAATAATAATAACAACAACAATAACAAAAATAACAATAACATTATTATTATTATTATTATTATTAATGTTGTATCTAATAATTTATTAAATGTATATGCTGCCTGACTCCCAGTGACGCTGGGCAGTATACAAAAAGTTAAAAACATTTAAAACAAGAAAACAATACAAAACAAAAAAAAATGCAAAAATGGCAGACACAACAGACCCAAATGGGAACAAAGAAGAGGTACTAAAGGGGGCTTCAATCCTGCTTGCTGAAGGCCCTTTAAAACACCAGAAAGTGTGGGGGGGGGGGAAGTGACTTCCTGAAAGCCAGCAGGGAGGGGATTTATTTATTTGCATCCCCCTGCCATTATTATTTTTATAAATAAGGTGGAGAACATACATAATGCTCCTTGCTCTTCCTCTTTTTCCCACAACAAAACCCTGTGAGGTGGTTTGAGCTGAGAATGAATGAGAGATTCCAGAGTTATCGGCAAGTTGCCCTTTTGTTCTACCTCAGTGGTTCTCAACCTTTTTAATGCCGTGACCCCCAACCGGTCGTAAGTCGAGGACTACTCAACTGGTCGTAAGTTGAGGACTACTCAACTGGTGCAGCACCGTTTGCAGAATGGGACTTTTGGTGGGTTCAGCAGGGCAGAGACAGCCTGGACAATTCCTACTGGCTTTTGAAAGCCAATAGAATTAGACTCTATTCAAGAGAGTCTATTCTATTGGCTTTCAAAAGCCAATAGAATAAAAGGGAATAGCACAGCTAAGGAAAAGGGGAAAAAAATGGCGGACTGCGTTGTTTGGCGACCCCTGTGAAATGGTCGTTTGACCCCAAATGGGGTCCCGACCCACAGGTTGAGAACCACTGTTCTACCTGAAAAGCTAACCACCCCCCCCCCCAGGTAGTCCTCAGTTACAAAGGATCCAAAACAAATGTACTTATGGTCAGGATTAGAAGTTCCAAAGGTTGCTCCCCCTACCTCTCCCCCCACCCCCCCATGACCACATTTTGGGTACCCAGCAACCGGTCCGCATTTATGGCTGTTTGCAGCATCCGATGCTCATTGGATTGATGATGTCTTGCCTGAAGCCAGCATTTGCTTCTGGTTTCCAGCAAAAAATGTCCCATGGTGAGAAATGGGTTCACTAAACCACACAAAAAAAGGATGTAAAACTGGGAGGGGTTACATGATGAACTGCTTAACGACTGCCACGGTAACTGTGGGCTCGATTATGGCCGTAAGTCAAGGCCTACCCCTCCTGAAGTGAGTGTTGTGTTGGCAGCCCTAGCAGTGCAAGGTAAAGAACAAGAGATTCTTCTGCAGGAGGTGGACAATTCTATCAGCCTCTCAGAGAAACAACAGAGCCATAATACCATGTTTGGAACATAACAAAAAGCTTGGAGAAAGACAAGGGAGCACAGGTCGTCCTCGACTTACAACCGTTCATTGAGTGACTATTCAAAGTTACGACGGCACTAAAAAAAAGCGACTTAGGACCGTTTTTCACACTTACGACCATTTCAGCATGCCCGTGGTCAGATGATCAAAATTTGGACTCTTGGCAACTGGCTTGTATTTATGACAGTTGTGGCGTCCCTGGGGGTCATGTGACCACCTGTCACGACCTTCTGACAAGCAAAGGAAACGGGGAAGCCAAATTCACTTATCAACCGTGTTACTAGCTTAACAACTGCAGCGATTCACTTAACCACTGTGGCAAGGAAGGTCGTAAAACGGGGCAAAACTCACTTAACAAATGCCTCGCTCGGCAGCGGAAACGTTGGGTCCCGTTGTGCTTTACTTGAACTTCTGCTGAAAAGCTGTGATAAATTTGCTTTCCTAGACCTCCTATGCATAATTCCCCAATCATGGATGCCTTTGGCAATGAACCCTAAGCGAGGTAAGGAACATCTATCTAGCTGGGGTGAGGTTTTCTTTCAGGGACACCTCACAAATCCCACTGGGCTGGATGAGAGTCTGGAGCGATCTGGGCAACCGTAGGTCTGTCTGGGAAAGGAACCTTGAAAAGCATACCTGTGTGGCAGACTTCCCCCTGGGCTTCAGCAGGCCACCCAGAAGGCCCCACCAATTAGATATTTCCTGTGTCTGATTTAAAGAATAGTGAAAAGCACTTTTCTGGTCAAGTAACATTAAGACTGGAAAGGACATTCTGGTTCTAGCAGGTAAGCTCCTAGAAGAAGACTATAGGGGTCGAAACACTATAGTCCAGACATGTCAAACACAAGGCCCGGGGGCCAGATGTGGCCCGCAAAGTGGTTTCATGTGGCCCGCGAAGCCATCCTGGAAACAGAGAGGGAACGGCCCCCGCTGCCTTGGCCCTGGTCCAGGCCGGCTGGGAGCCAATGTACAATTTTGTGGTGGCCATCTATGCTGAAATGTATTCAGTCTTGGCTCCACAAGACCATCTGGTAACAGCGAGGAACCAGCCCCTGCCACGTCGGCCCCACCCCCTGGGCGCATGCTGAGGAGGTGTCACTCTTTATGAGGAATGAAGAAATGCACCATTGCCTGGAAGTGGCCAGCAAATGGCCCTCGCCTACTTCACATATCCAGTTTGATGGGTTCTGCCCTGGTCCCACCCCCTTCTGCCAGAGACCCTCAGATCTGTCCCACTCCTGCCCAGGCCCCCACAGGCATCCTTGATGCGAATGATGTAGAGCTGGCCACGCCCACCCAGTAGGCCACACCCACTCCATCCACGCCCACCCAGTAGGCCGCATCCACCTGGCCCCCCGTGGGCAACCGCAATGCTGATGCGGCCCTCAGTGAAATTGAGTTTGACACCCCTGCTATAATCCAAGCCAGTGTTGGGATTCAAATATGTGAACATCCTTTTCTCTGTGTGGATGCCGCTTCTGGAAGTCCATTCTGGGGCTGGGCAACAAAAAATTAGCTACCGGTTCCGCCAAAGTGGTGCGAACCGGCTGAATCCCACCACTGCTCCAAGCACAGCTTTCGTAGAGCCAGGAGGAAAAGACTGGATAATTTCTAGACCTGGTGAATGAATGAAATATTGTTTTTTAAATTACATAAGGACAATCTCACGAGGGCAAACGTTTGAGAATTCCAGAAATATAGCCTTGCTTGAGAGATGCTGGTGTTGACTAGGAGGGAGGACAAATGCCTTTCCGAAAGATATGTTGACAAACGATGGGCAGCTTTTAAACTTTCTTGCGGGCTCCAGAGTAAGGGTGGCGATATTGGTTAGCACTTACCTGCTACCACTCCAGCAAAATAGACAAATCCGATCCTGGTCGCACCATGAACCATTTCAAGGGGAACTCCAACGAGAAGCTGAAGGACAACATTGAGTCCAAGGTGTTCTATCCTGAGGAAACAGCACTGTTTGTTTTTATTAACTTTAGATTATTATTATTATTATTACTACTACTACTACTACTATTACTATTATTATTATTCCCAGAGTGATATTTTGTAAAAACATTATGAAAGCCTGTGTATAACCCTCTTGATAAAATGTTATTTAGTTTAAAAGACAATTTAAACGCAGTAGACCGCCTAAGAGTCTTCCAAAGAGCATTCAAACAGCCATGCTCCTTCATTTAAAAATAATGTAATAATTATGGTTCAAGAATTCTGTCTTTGAACACCACTGATTAGGACTAAACGTTTAACCGCCAAACTCGATTAACCATAATTATTATATGCTAATCACAATTAATTAGCTAATTAATCAGTCAGGCATAGTAATCAGGACCACGGACTGGTACAAATCTGAACTGGAATGAAGTGGATCATTTCTGGCAATGCAAGGTATGACTCCCATCTATCTCACAGAAGGCAGAAATCTTTTACACCAAAGATGTGAAAATAACAAACAGGCAAACAAATGAATGAAAAGGACCCGGCCTGTAGTGCTCCAGTGGGTATCTCCAATGGCATTGACACTATTTCTGTATGGACAATCCTGTTTGAGAAGGTTGGGCAGTTTAAGAAGGTTTAATGCCTTCAGCTGGGAAAGAAATCCTTTGGGAAGCACTGGACATTTTTCAAAGATGAAATGGGAAGCATTTTGCCTCTTAATTCCTTTCCTGAAAAACTGGCAAAACGTTTTGAACCCAGCCACTCCAGGGGAAATTTAGAAGCTGAAAATCGGAGACTGTGGAGCACCATATAGTGATTGTCAGATGTTCATTCCTGTTCTAAAGAAGGATGCAGAAAAAAGCAATACATCTCTGGACTGAAAAACAAAAATTAAAAGTCATGGCTATAAATATGACTAAAAAAAGAGAGCAATAAAGTTACAAAAGCATTCAGAAAAGATCTTGTTTCTGTACTGAGGTGGATTGAATGCTAAAATCACTCAATCATCATGTATCATTTTTTCATTAAAAAAAATGATCTCCCTGTGTGAAAAGTCAGATATATTAACTACGGTTCTAAAAGTTGTATACAAAAAAAAGTAGTTACATTTTAAATAAAGCTCACATTGGAGACTGTATTTTAAAACTCTGTATCGGAAAAATGTATTTGTCAAAGAAGGATTTGCTTTTGTTTTTTTGAGCATCTTGAACAATCAATGTCAACACTTAAAGTCACTCTGTTAAGAGATTTTGCACATGCACAGCTGTAATTTTTTTTTTTCTAAACTCCAGAAGTAAAAACCCCACAAGATTTGAACACTGCGTAGTGTATAATGTGGTCAGTAAAATGCACAGGATTTTAAGCAACTAGTGCAAAATGAAACAGCTACTTCATTATTTAACAAGAACATTAAAATAAGAGATGGATACTGCAAAAAGATTTAATTCTTTTCATCCAGACTTTATCCCTCTCCCCCCCCTGTTGGATGCATCAACCATTCTGCTCGAATAACACAAATAAAGGCGATAAATGAACTAATTAAAAAATTGCCAATCTCCTGAGCCAGATGGTATGTATCCAAGAATACCGAACAGTTCAGTTGTTCAAGATTTACCATTTGATGTTAGGCCCAGATTTTCTTGTAGAGTGGGTTTTTGTTTTGTTTTGTTTTTTTAAAATCCTGCTGATTATCATAATTGTTTAAGTTGAAGCAGGGTGGATTGCAAACTCTCTGTATGTGCATCCTTATACAATAATCGCCAATCATAACATTTAACCAAACTATGTTGTTTAGAGTGAAAATGAGGGCAAAAGTTTGAAACAAGATTTTAAAAATCTACCTTTTCCTTACACTGAATCACAGCTCAATGCAGGCTAATAACAAGAAACGTCACGGGAAGCTTTGTGGTTTTATCGTAACAATGAATTTAACTGTCTTTTAAATAATGTCTCTTGAGGTGCCATGATTTATTTCTGCTGATGTTTCTGCAGGCCCGCTGTTTGGCTGGTCCTTTAAAAATGAGGCTTCCATTCAGCTAAATTGCTCCTGCATCAGCCAAGCACATCAGAGTCCCATAGTCAATCAGGGCCCATAAAACGTAATTAGCTTTCACATGCTCTGAATGTGTCATTCTTTGGATGACAATATAATTGATTTATCCAGGCTTCACCTTCTCTGGGACCGAGCAAGCAGGGCCCTTGAATCAATGCAACTCATTAGTTATGGCAGGAATAAAAATGGGTGGGGCCTCGCAGATCATTAACAGACACTCCACCTTAAAGTGGAAAGCTAAAATTTACAACTGTGGGGTCTTAGAAAGCTTTTCCCCATCAGGACTGGAACATGAGCAGCACATACATTTGGGAATACTCTGAGTAAGCACAATCAGTCCCCCCCCCCAATGACTCCCTTCTCCCAGGGTACCTTCTAGCTGACGTGCTTCCCCCCCAAAAAAGCATAATAAATTAAGAGATCCGCATTAACATTTTAAAGTCACAGCAGGAAGTAGGGCAATAATAGATTTCACCACCTTTGTATCAGTTTGCCCTTTAGCGGAAGGGGGGAACAGAATAAGGGCCTCACCATTAAAAAGCACAAACACCATATGACTTTCTTTGAGATTTATTTTGTTCTCCAGCAGGAGAAATAATCTAATGCAGGCAACTTGGCTGGAAGTGATTGCTGAGCATTTTAAATATTACAGAGTTTTCTTTAAAACAACTATCCCTAACACCCATTGCTTCTCAAGTGGAGAATGTGTGTGTGTGGTTGGGAAGCTTGCACTTCCAAACGGTTTAGAATCTGCCACAAAAATGTAATCATCCAATGCCAGTTAAGTCTCTAATATGTACAGACGGCAGACTTTGGATACTTGATCTTCCTAGAGATTTCCCTGGAAATCAGCCAAGGGTGTGGGAAAAAAAAAACCTCAGGATAATTAAAAGATTCAGCACATTTTTCAAGCCACACAGCAGCCTAGTGGCAACAAGATAATTGTCAAGGCAAAGGGTTAGCTTTTGGGGACTAAGAAAAATGTTCTGCAATATGACTAAAGTGCTTTGAAATCTTTCAAAGTTGCAGGGCAGCTGGCCGTATTTAAAGTAAGTCAATGCCTTTCATTCAAAGAAATCCCAGAGAATGTAGAGTGCCTGATTTTCTTCAGATACTCTGTGTTGAGGTTAAGTTCCTGTAGTGCCCAGCTAGAAATTGGAGGGCAGGAGGCTCAGAAAAAAATGATAGGGTAAAGCAAGTGCATGAAAACTTTTAGTGTGTGTAGTTTACAACTTACAAAAGTTCATTTAATGACTGAAGTTACAACAGCACTGAAAAAAGGGACTTATGATCATTTTTCAAACTAACAACCATTGTAGCATCTCTATGATCGTGTGATCAAAATTCAGACACTTGGCAACTATAATAATAATAATAAAGTTGGAAGGGACCTTGGAGGTCATCTAGTCCAACCTCCTGCTCAGGCAGCAAACCCTATACCATTTCGGACAAATGGCTGTCCAGTCTCTTCTTAAAAACTTCCAGTGTTGGAGCATTCAATGCTTCTGGAGGCAGGTTGTTCCACTGGTTAATTGTTCTAACTGTCAGGAAGTTTCTCCTTAGTTCTAGGTTGCTTCTCTCCTTGCTTAGTTTCCACTTGTTGCTTCTTGTCCTGCCTTCTTTGTGGCAGCCCTTGAGATATTGGAACACTACTATCATGTCCCCCCCTCGTCCTTCTCTTCATTAAACTAGACATACCCAATTCCAGCAACCATTCCTTATATGCTTTAGCCTCCAGGCCCCTAATCATCTTTGTTGCTCTTCTCTGTACTCTTTCTAGAGTCTCAACATCTTTTTTACATCGTGGTGACCAAAACTGGATGCAGTATTCCAAGTGTGGCCTTACCAAGGCATTGTAAAGTGGTATTAATACTTCACGTGATCTAGTTCATATTTATGACGATTGCAGTGTCCTGGAGTCATATGATCCCCTTTTGCAACCTTCTGACAAACAAAGTCAATAGGGAAGACAGGTCCACTTAACAGGTCTGTGACTAACTCAACAACTGCAGTGATTCACTTAACAACTCTGGCAAGTAAGATCATAAAATGGGGCAAAATTCACTTAACAAGCGTCTCACTTAGCAACAGAAATTTTGGGTTTGATTGCCACAAGTCGAGGACTACTCTGTAATTTTTCCTATTGCCATCAGAAGGAGGACTGGCAAATACCATCTCAGGTTAAACGACAACAAAAAAAACTCTCATTAGAAAGCGTGTACAAGTTAAATGTTTTCTGCAAATCCGACAGGACAGGTTATTTATTGGCAGAAGGACCAAAATGTTCCGGTTAGATTTGGTGGTCCCAGTTAGAGAAGCTCCCTACTTGATTCTGAAGTGGCTATCAAGTAAAACCTGCCAGTATTTTCAGGGTTGCATTATAGTCGGGGATCTTAGGTTATTGGAAGAGCTGACACGGTGTTAATGTTTTGTTTTCTTGCCAGACATAACTCAGTGAATCCATGAGCTGCTCCCTAGGAATCCCCATTGATGATGCTCCAACATTGGAAGTTTTTAAGAAGAGACTGGACAGCTATTTGTCTGAAATGGTATAAGGTTACCTGCCTGAGCAGGGGGTTGGACTAGATGACTCCAAGGTCCCTTCCAAGTTTTTTTATTACTATTATTATTATGGATCATCGCACAGTCAGCTAGATGTTCAGACTGGATTTGGCATTTTGTCCACCTATCGAGTCCTTACCCAGGATCTGGGATAGGCAGATGTGGATGTTTGATGGTATTACAGATATCGTCGCAGGATGGAAGCAGTTCCTAGTAAGGCCGCCTTTTGCAATTGACTAATAGCGAATTTGTCAATGCCAATGGTGTTCAAGTGGTGCTTATTATTATTATTATTATATTATTATTATTATTATTATTATTGATCATCGCACAGTCAGCCAGATGTTCAGACTGGATTTGGCATTTTGTCTACCTATCGAGTCCTTACCCAGGACCTGGGATAGGCAGATGTGGATGTTTGACGGTATTACAGATATCATTGCAGGATGGAAGCAGTTCCTAGTAAGGCTTCCTTTTGCCATTGACTAATAGCGAATTTGTTTATTATTATTATTATTATTATTATTATTATTATTATTATTATTATTATTATTATGGATCATCGCACAGTCAGCCAGATGTTCAGACTGGATTTGGCATTTTGTCTACCTATCGAGTCCTTACCCAGGACCTGGGATAGGCAGATGTGGATGTTTGATGGTATTACAGGTATCGTCGCAGGATGGAAGCAGTTCCTAATAAGGCCGCCTTTTGCAATTGACTAATAGCAAATTTGTCAATGCCAATGGTGTTCAAGTGGTGCTCCAGTTGTTTTGGGATTGCACCCAAGGAGCCTATGACTATTGGTACTACCCTTGCTTGCTTTTGCCACAGTCTTTCTATTTCTATTTGTAGCTCTTTGTATTTTGTTATCTTCTCCAGTTCTTTCTCGTCTATTCTGCTATCTCCAGGCACTGCCACGTCCACTATCCAGACTTTTTTGTCTTTCTTATCGACAATTGTTAAGTCTGGGGTGTTATGTTGCAGGTGCTTGTCTGTTTGAATTCTGAAGTCCCAGAGCAGTTTAATTTTATCATTTTCTATGACTTTCTCTATTTTATGATCCCACCAGTTTTTGCTTACAGGCAAATGATATTTTTTGCAGATCTTCCAATGCACCATTGTTGCTACTTTGTCATGCCGCTGCTTGTAGTCACTCTATGCAATCTTCTTGCAACAGCTTACCAGGTGGTCCACTGTTTCTTCAGCTTCTTTACATAGACGGCACTTGCTGTCTGTTGCTGTCTTCTCAATTTTGACTTTATATACATTTGTCCTTAAGGCTTGGTCTTGTGCAGCCAGAATTAGTCCCTCGGTCTCTTTCTTCAATTTTCCTGCTCTTAGCCATTGCCAGGTCTTGTTATTATCTGCTTTCCCAGCTATTTTTTTAATGTATTGGCCATGTAGTGCTTTGTCTTCTCATGCCTCTATTCTGTTCTTTATTTGGTCTTTCTTGTAGACCAGTTTGGTCTCTCCAGTAGTCAGTAAGCCTTCCTGATATACTATTATTACTATTACTATTATTATTATTATTTTGAAATGGGAGAGAGACAGCTAAGCACTGTCCCCTAAAGCCGCACTTTCCAAACGTGGGTAAATTATCCAAAACTGAGTACTGTAGAAGTAGCTTTTCTTAGGACAATGAAATGCAAATACATTACCCGAACATAAACAAAGATATTTAAATCGACTTAGAGTTCTTTATCTACATTGGGTAAAAAGGACTTTCTGATTAGTCATTTTGGATAACGAAGAACAAGGTTTGGGAAGTGCAGCCTTAGGAGATGGAAGCAAACTGCAGGCAGTTTTTGACTCACAACCACAATTGAGCTCAAAATTTCTGTTGCTGAGTGAGACAGTTGTTAAGTGAGTTTTGCCCCATTTTATGACCTTTCTTACCACAGTTGTTAAGTGAATCACCACAGTTAAGTTAGTAACATGGTTGTTAAGAGAATCTGGCTTCCCCATTGACTTTGCTTGTCACAAAAGGGGATCACGTGACCCCAGGACACGGAAACCGTCCTAAATACAAACAAGTTGCCAAGTGTCTGAATTTTGATTATATGACTATGGAGATGCTGCAACGGTTGTATGAAAAATGATCATGACTCCCTTTTTTCAGTGCTGTTGTAATGTCAAACGGTCAATAAATGAGTTGTGAGTTGAGAACTATCTATACCTAGAAGAAGACACTCCAGGATCAAATTGAAAAAGGCAACAGCAAATTACATTTGTATTATTGCCTAGAAAATTGTATGGACATGATTCTAACAATTTTGATGAACGTGAGTGATAGATGATGAGATCCACCAGCTGAGAAGCCTTCCACAAGTAGATCTGGAGGCGACAGTATAACTTTATTCAGAAACGGACCCCATTAAAAAAAACTGAGCCAGACAGACAATACACCATTGTGAAACAGGGAAGCACCAAACACAGATGAAATGCCCACTGAACCACAGAGAAGAGGTGTTTAAAGGACTAATAGCTTTGTTTACACAAATATGGAACAGATGGTGGTGAAAAAGTTTGGTACAGACAACAACACCAAAGAAGAGAGATGCAAGAAAATGTAGAAATTATCAAGCCATTCCACTAATTTCTCCGGAAAGCTAATTTGTTCTTAAGATCTTACCAAGAAATATAGAGTTGTACACAAAGAGGGGGGAAAAGCCCCATGCTTTTCAGAAAAGGCAGTGGGATGCAACTCAAATAGATGATGTCAGATGAGGAACAGAAAGAGCAAAGAAATACAGGTAACCCCTGACTCATTTTATGACCTTTTTTGTCACACGTGTCAAGTGAATTACTGCAGATGTTAAGTTAAATAACCCAGTTGTTAAATGAATCTGGCTTCCGCACTGACTTTGCTTGTCAGAAGGTTCTAAAAGGTGATCACATGATCCTGGGACACGGCAACCGTCAGTTGCCAAGCGTCCAAATGCTGCAATGGTCATAAGTGTGAAAAACGATCATAACTCACTTTTTTTCAGTTGTATCTTTGAATAGTCACTAAACAAATGGTTGTAAGTGAAGGACTACCAGTACATTGAACTACAACTAGCCAATTGCTTTTTATCCTACCATGTTAGAGGAACCCAGCCTATCTGGTTCAGTTATATGAAAATCCAGAAATTTGTGTGGAATAAACCCAGATTTTGCAATCATAGGAATTATGACAGAAAATTAAAATGGCAGGTAGCTGCCCAGTTGGAAAACTAATTTTAAAGATGCGGGGAACATTGGGCTATGCCAGTGATAGCGAACCTTTTAGAGACCGAGTGCCCAAACTGCAACCCAAAACCCACTTATGTATCATTAGGTGCCAGGCAGGTGTGGCCCATTGGGTGGGTGTGGCCAATTGTGTGGGCATGGCCCATTGGGTGGGCGTGGCTGCAGTGGTAACGTCAGATTGGGTGGGACTAAAAAGTTCAATCAATCAATTCCAACTTTGCGAGATCTTTTTTTCCCCGCAAGAAGTTGAAATTGATTGATTAATTGAACCCTTTTTTTTGTACCTGGCAGAAGAGTCCTAAAGCGAAAAGGTTTTATAAAACCCAGCTGAAGGCCTAGCACTGGGGTGACAGTGCATGTGCCCACAGAGAGGGCTCTGCATGCCACCTGTGGCACGCGTGCCATAGGTTCGCCACCACGGGGCTATGCCATGATACTGGACCCCGAGGGCTGACCATGAATGCCATCTGCAAGGTCTCCCTTGCCCTCTTCCCTTAATACCGTGTAACAACGGAGTCATCAACATTTCCGCAGCACTCACCCTGCATGCATGAAGATGTAGGTGAGGTACCTCCAGGCTTGGGCACGGAGTTGAGGATGATATAATAATGAATTCTTCAGATAGAAGGGATGGGTGACTTGCAGCACAAACCTATCCAGGACCACTCCATTGTAAAGGAAGAAGGCAACCTAGGAGAGCAGGGAAAGCCCACAATTAACCAAATTCCATTTGCATATCTGGGGGAAAAAATAGACCTTTTACTTGGAGGGAAGAAAGGTGCTTCAGAGTGTGAGGGGGTGCTCACACGACACCTTTGGACAAGTCCTTAAAGAGCTGCACTTTTCCCCGAAATGGTGTGACTACATTGTGATCACTGTGACATTGTGGAATTGTGGAGTTGCACTGTCATCCTGGGAAAAGGCACATGTAATTTAAGGAGTTGCAGATTGTCTCAGAAATATTCTGAGGTATCTTTGCACTCTTGAATCCAAAGGCCTGAACAGCACTAAGAAAAAAAAAATCGGTTTTAGGAAATATAAACACCTCAGTTCAATAAAAGTACATCTAACTAGAGGTTGGTTTGGACTTTCCTGGTTACTTATTTGCTTTAAATGTGGAGGAGGTATTAGATTTCTAATATTACCTAATCCCTCCTCTTCAGGCCAACCTATCTGTCAACTCCTCCTCAAGAACCACATATTTAAGTTTTGTATGCACAAGCTCGATCAAAATACCTGAATAATGAATACACGAATAGCACCATGTTAAATACCGCACTCATAATGAAACATTTTGATTTACCTTGTTGTTGAATATGAAATAGCAACCACTGGGAACTTCCAGAAACTACAATATGTGACTTCCATAAGCCTTGATTATATTGCTATGGCTGCTTCTCACATCAGGCTAAGCCAAAGCCAAGTAGATTACATAATAGTTTAGGACAATATATGAATCCAGGCAATGTAAAAGGAGGATTAAACGGGCATACATAAATCCCTGCAGTGGCACAATACGTAATTGGCCAGAATTTCTCTTCTCTGAAGTAACCCCCCACACAAATACAATCTGTCTGGATTTAAGCTCTTCTTGTACTGTTGCCAAACGCAAGAAAGGCCAGCAGATCCAAAGAAAGCCATGAAACATATTTTCTTCAGCTAAATCCATTCCAGGAGGATTCAATGACATTTCATTTCCACTGGATCAACACATATTTTCTATGTTATCTGGCCGTGAAACAAAACATATTGTCAACTAAATCAGTGTGTGATGCAACTGTAAAAACTACACAAGTATATATGCATAGACAGGTAGTCCCCTATTTATGACCACAATTGAGCCCAGAATTTATATTGCTAAGTGAGAAATTTGTTAAGTGACTTTTGCCCCATTTTGCGACCTTTCTGGCTACAATTATTAAATGAATCACTGCAGTTGTTAAAGTAGTAACATAGCTCTTAAGTGAACCTGCCTTCCCCATTGACTTTGCTTGTCAGAAGGTCCCAATAGGGGATCACATGACCCCATGAGACACTGCGGCCATCATAAATATGAACCAGTTGCCAGGCATCCAAATGTAAATCACATGACCGTGGGGATGCTGCAACGGTCATAAGTGTGGAAAAAATAGTCATAAGTCACTTTTTTCGGTGCTATTATAACTTTGAACAGCCACTAAATGAACTGTTGTAAGCCGAGGACTACCTGTATGTTAAACTGACCCATTGCACAAACACATGAAAGACTCAAAGGTCTGCTATACCAACCTCCTACGAGCATAGCGCTAGAACATCTGCCCCCTCGCCCCCTTTTAAAATGTATGGTCATCCTTTCTACTGCAATCCCATTTGTTTAATTGCTCAATGTGAAGTAATTAGAACCATTGAGAAATGCCTGAAGATATATTTCAGCATTATGCTGAACTTTAAATAAAGCTTTATTTGAGACAGCAAAGGACCGAACAAGAAATTAAAAGGCCAAAGGTTTACTCCTGCTCTACGTAATTTCCATTTCCCTAGAATAGACCACATCTTGAACTTGACATCCATTCAGTCATTGAATTGATTCTCCAAAATGACATGGTCCTTCAGAGGCAGTAATTTATCCAACAGCAGGTGAATCCTACTGTCCAGGTTTCCCAATTTAAAACTTCTTGGACTGGATGTCCTTGATATAAATATCATATAGTCATGTAGAAGTCTACTGCCATTCTGGGATTACTACCATAGAAGAACAGAGAGGTAGAACTGCCTATCCCTCAAAATCTGCTAACATGACTTCTCCCACTGTCAGGTAAACAGCATGGTAGAAATTTCTTTTTTAAAAAAACAAAAAACCTTGAAGAACATCCTAACCCCAAATGAACAGTTGCAGAACAGAAGATCTCAGCACCACCTGAAATTTGATCTGCCAGGTAGCATTAGAGATACCTTAATACTGAGCCCTACATTTTCATTGGTGTTTGTTTCCATCCTACCTCATATTAACATCGTAGTTAAATCTCAGTTACTTAAGTTTACTCTGAATTGAAGACAACCTCCCAAAGAGAGTAGACAGGGAAACACACACACACACACACACCCCAAATCCTATGCAATTCCTAACTCCCCCTCTTCTCAAACTAAGATTTATGCTATCTTCTCAACCAATGGTTCTCAACCTGTGGTCTGCAGACTCCTGGGGGGCCACAATGTCTCAAAGGCAAAGCAAAAACTTGAAGAAGTGTTATGATTTAAATAATAATAATAATAATAATAATGAGGAGGAGGAGAAGAAGAAGAAGAAGAAGAAGAAGAAGAAGAAGAAGAAGAAGAAGAAGAAGAAGAAGAAGAAGAAGAAGAAGAAGAAGAAGAAGAAGAAGAAGAAGAAGAAGAAGAGGTAGTAGTAGTAGTAGTTGGAAGGGATCTTGGAGGTCATCTAGTCCAACCCCCTGCTCAGGCAGGAAACCCTATACCATTTCAGACAAATGGCTGTCCAGTCTCTTCTTAAAATCTTCCAGTGTTGAAGCATTCACCGCTTCTGGAGGCAGGTTGTTCCACTGGTTAATTGTTCTAACTATCAGGAAGTTTCTCTTTAGTTCTAGGTTGCTTCTCTCCTTGATTAGTTTCCACCTGTTGCTCCTTATCCTGCCTTCAGGCACCTTGGAAAATAGCTTGACTCCCTCTTCTTTGTGTCAGCCCCTGAGATATTGGAACACTGCTATCATGTCCCCCTTCGTCCTTCTCTTCGTTAAACTAGACATACCCAATTCCAGCAACCGTTCCTTATATGTTTTAGCCTCCAGTCCCTTAATCATCTTTGTTGCTCTTCTCTGTACTCTTTCTAGAGTCTCTTGAGTTAAATCTTGGGGGTCCATGGCCAGGGTCTGTGGCCATATAAGGTATTTAAAGGAGGTCTGTGATAAAGAAAAGATTGAGAACCACTGTTCTAAACCAACCTGGGGGAATTCCTCCCTCTGTAACATGCATATGATGTACTCATGCATACGTGAACCACACACATACATATCTCTTTCTGAAGCAATACCAAAAAAAGCAAGGCCAAAGCAGGACAAAATTAACATTAAAATAATCACCACTGATCTCCTGTAAATTAGCTATCTTATTTATATCACTAATTAATTGTAATCCTATGTACCATCTGTTCTTTCTCACACATGCAAACTGCTTTCACAAGAGAAACACAAGCATGCACACAGACGTGCCCTTCCCCTCCCTTCCCTGCTTTCAGCAGAAAGAGCAGAGGAAGAAGTGGAGGAAGAGGAAAGAAGATGGATGCAGGGCAAGACGAGAAGACAAGGCAAAGGGGAGAACAAAGCTGCTTGGAGAAGAGGCAAGGATAACTAGGAGAGGACAGCAAAAAGAGAAAACCTCCTTTATGCAGTATGAAAACAGTTAAATTCTGCCAGCCAGCACCCCTCCCTCAAGCAACAGCTGGTTTTCAAAGGCATCAACACTGTAGGGCAGAGGTCTCCGACCTTCGCTCCATGGCCCGGAGCTGGGCTGCAGCCTCTTGGGAACCGGACTGTGCAAAAAGTGGGCGAGTGCACAAGTGCATGAAGCTGCATTTGGATAGGTGTCGTGCATGCATGCATGCAAAACCATCCCCTCTCCCACCCCACCGCTGCCACCACCTCCAGTCCTCAGAGCCAGGAAGGTTGGTGACCGCTGCTGTAGGAGATGACCAGGAGATGAACCTGAGGGTGGGTTCAAGCAGATCATCAGTTTGGAATCGCTGTGCTCCCGCAAGAGACCTAAGTCCAGCCCTCCATGCATGCTGTTGACTTTTAACTAACGCCGATTTGCCTGGATCATTAGTAGATCAGATTCTTTTGTATGGGTAACATGTAATGAACTCAACTCAACAAGTGCTTTGAACTCAACTCCTGTTCCTGGTTGCTTGATTTGACAAACACAGTCCAACAGCAGTGCCTATGGCCGTTTGTCCTTCACTGTTCCAGCAGCATTTTCTATTCTTCTTGGTGAGTGTCAGCCAACTCCCCCAGTTCCCAAGTTGCGGGGGAAACCTTTGGGGGAACGCTTCCTTTCACAAACATGGTAGTTATCAAAACTGAAGGTGTGCTAGACATGTTGATGCCAGACACACAATGGCACTAACTCACATTTTCTCTAATGCCTACTTCTTTCCAGGTGAATATTGGCTGCTTCAAAACTGGCACAATCTCAATGGGCTTCCTTGAAGAGGTAATTCTACAAAAGTGGTTCTGCCAGGCAAGAGACATTCCGTATGGGTGCTGTTCTTAGGTAAAAGTGGGGAATTTGCAGCTGCTGTATATAAATCCCATTATCTTCAACTATCGGCCAGGACAACTGGCCACTACTTACAGAAGTTGGAGTCTGACAAGTTTTAGAAAGCCACAGGTTCCCAATACCTTCATTAAAACTTTCTAAGGAATGAAAACAATAAATAAACTACTTGGGAAAACGCTGTTGCCACAGCAAATACCGAAGAATCCATTTAAAATGTTATCTGCTTCCAGTCCGTACCGGTAACTGATTGTCTTTCCAAACCATATTTCAGAGAAAATTTTAGACTATTTCTTTATCTGTGCTAATATTAGGGTTTAAATTATGTATGCAAATATTGGGATCTGAATCAGGGGTGTCCAAGCTTGGCAACTTTAAGACCTTTGGACTTCAACTCCCAGAATTCCCCAGCCAGACATGGGAGTTGAAGTCCACAAGTCTTAAAGTTGCCAAGCTTGGACAACCCTGGTCTAAATTATATTGGGATTAGCTGACACCAAACTTGCAAGCTGAACCATTTTCAGGCCAAGGAGAATACAATAGAGTACTAGGCAAACCCCACCCACATCATTCCATGCCTGAAGATACTTGCCTCTACAATTGTGATGGCAATCATGAACCAAGGTGGAGGACAGCAGGTGTAGCTGTCATAGTACCATTTCCGGTCTATCTCGCGGGGTAACGTCTCATACGCCACGTGCCGAATCAACCGCTGAGAAAGGCTGAGTCCCGTCTCCTCCAGGAGGGCCTTGCTGCATAGCCTCCTGTTCCCTTGCAAAATGGCTTGGCGGAAGCTGTTGGATCTCTTGTTACTCATCTGAAGATACAGTTAAGAAGAAGGAAAGAAAAAAATAAAATAAAATGCTCTAATCAAACTATAAGCTGCTCAGGCTGAGAGGGTTCAGATTTCTTATCAGGGATAAGTTCAATGCTTGGCCATAATGCAGACGCTTACAAGATACAAACAGTACGAATTCCGAAGAAATTAACTTCCTACTTAATCTCTGGCCTAGCCTTTTGTTTTAAACTACTATACAGGTAATCCTCGACTTACGGCCATAATTGAGCCCAACATTTCCGTGGCTAAGCAAGACAGTTGTAAAATGAATTTTGCCCCATTTTACAGCCTTTCTTGCCACAGTTGTTAAGTGAGTCACTGCAGCTGTTAAGTTAGTAAAATGGCTGTTAAGAGAATCTGGCTTCCCCATTGACTTTGCTTGTCAGAAGGTCGCAAAAGGGAATCCCAGATGATTCCAGGACATTGCAACTGTCATAAATAAATAGGCAGGTAGGCAGGTAGTAGCTAGATAGGTAGAAAGAGAAGAAAAAATAGTGACCGGATAAGATCAAACAGATCACTGAGCTATGGATGATCACTTCAGACAAATGTGATGGCCAGAAGTGAACCCAATTTGATGGTACTTAATTAACTGAGATCCCAGGAGTGATCTATTTCTGCCTAATAGAGTACAAGTATATAAGATGTTCCAAATGCACACATATGCCTTCACACAGAATAAGCGCACTCTTGTGCAATTGCCAAAACCTTTTCTGAGAGTCTTTTATTCCTATGGACCACAGCTCTGTTAACATCTGCTTGCAGAAAGCTGCCAAGACTTAATTCAGCACACAAGAGAAAGTACAGTACCACAGCATTAGCATTCAGGTTTGGTGGTGTTGCTACTGGTGTTTGATCATTTTCTTTTTGGCTCATCTGTACAAGATTTCAAAGGCCAGACCTCCTTCTTTCATACATACAATGTGCATGGGTAATTGCTTCAAGCTGAGCCAAACTGCTTCAAAACAAACTAATCACCCTGCTATAAGCTTCGTTTTGAATGAGGGGAGCTGAGGTGCAAGTGGCCTTGACAATAAATGTTATTTATCATTTGTTATGTACAACCATTTTTAAGCTGCCTTTAATTTCTTCAGGGAGAATGGGAGCCTACAAGAATGCGATGCAAATCATCCCAGAGTAATGAGAAAAAAACAACACAAAACAAGAAAAGTGCATGTTAAGAAAATAACAAGACAAGCAGCAAATATACAGCACAGGTTAAACCAACCCAATTAAAATGCTAGAAAAATAAGACACTGAAAACCTCTGTAACACTGCCAGGACCATGTCTGTTTCCTTGACTTTTCAGTCATAATTCATCATCAACCACCTGTCTGCTGGTGACAGCTGCCTGCTTGTGTCAATTCAATAATTATATATTCTATTTGTCAAAATATTATCTTCCTGCCCAGAAGCACTGTAACTTCTGATTGTTAGATACTGCATTATTAGATTCAGCTAATCCCTAAATTATTTTCATAATAGTGACAACCTCTCAAGGAAGAAAAAAAAAAGTGGGGGGGACTGTTAAGATATTTAAATTTAGTAGCTGGATCTGTGGGGTTGTACAATGAGCCAGAACATACAGTTGTAGTTGATTGGTTGGAGAGTGCTGGCTCTTGTGTGAGGCAACCTACTTTGTGATTGGTTGCTGTGGGTGTGGAGGGGGAGTTTTCCCCCCCACCACCACCTTTTTCTTCTGTGTGCTCTGTGATTCATCTCATGATGCTCCTGTTTACCTCCTGTTTATTTGCTGTAAATGGAGATGTGAAATATATTTATTTATATAAAACTACAAGCTCGTGTCAGTATCTCTGGCTTCATTTGTACATCTGCTGTGCAATTTCCCTGACAAAAACCAAGAAAGCCCAGTTGCCTTTTGAAAAGCACCTTTGAAAGAACCATGACCTGGATGACTGAGAATCTCCATGGACATCCTCTCAAAGAGTTCATGAAAATAATTAGTGCCCTGGCCCAGCACCCCCTTATTTCAAAACTGCTTGAGCAGAAAACACTCCCAAGATTGAATCACTTGGTTTGACACTCTGATTATGGCTCCACATATAGTTGGGTGGCTTCTACAAAACCAGCATATTCATCTCATTACATAAGATTCCCTTTTCTCAAACATAAACATTATTTTCCCTAGGTCAGTGGTGGTGACCCTATGGCATGGGTGCCAGAGGTGGCACTCAGAGCCCTCTCTGTGGGCACGCACGCTGTTGCCCCAGCCCCGCCTCCCCCCATGGCCCCTTCCTCACCAGCAGCCCCCTGGAGGAGAGTCACCCCTGGGCAACAGAGACGACTCCGCCCTCGCACCCCATAGCGTGCAGATGATGCTGCGGGGTGTGGGCAGAGGGCATGGCTGCCATGGTGCTGCAGGGCTGTCTGGCTATCTGCTGCAGCAGGCCATGGAGGCAGTGGGTGGCCCTGCAAGTGGGTGGGACACAGGGTGGGTGGGGGAGGAGCAGGCAGGGCGGGAGGCGGAACTGAGGCAGGGTGGTGGTTTTTGGGCACCCGATCTCTAAAAGGTTCGCCATCACTGCCCTAGGTCATGCTATAGTACTGAAATCTCATATCTATATTATTAGAATTTTATTTTAGTCCCCCGAATTAGTAATTCACTCCAAATCCTGATACGTCTTCTGAACTTGCCTTAATTTTTCTGAAAGAAATTGTTATTTTTCAGTCTTTTGATTGTGACCTTTTGGGGGGTATCTCATTTTTCTTAAGTACCCATGATTTAAACATGTGTATCAAATATGATGTGCATGCAAATAATCAAATAAATATATAGTGTAATACAAGCCCACTCCTGTTGCAAAATACTTGTTTAATATTTATATTGTGAGACCACCTATAACCCATCAGAAAACTGAGATGTGAGAAGGCTGACAAAACCAATAATTTTATGGTGGGATGGGAAATAACCTAAGTTTATAAATCAAAATCAGTTCTAAACACTACGCTGCTCCCCACTGCTCAGTCATCTACGAGCAAAATACAAGTAGTCCTCAACTTACAACAATTCATTTAATGACCATTTGAAGTTATAGCAGTACTGAAAAAAGTGCCTTTTGAGTATTTTTCACACTTACAACCGTTGCAGCATCCCTATGGTCATGTGATCAAAACTCAGATGCTTGGTAACTGAGTCATATTTATGGCATTGTAGTGTCCTGGGGTTATCACCTTTTGTGACCTTCTGACAAGCAGTCAATGGGGAAGCCAGATTCACTTAACAACTATGTTGCTAACTTAAGAACTACAGTAATTCACTTAACAGCCATGGCAAGAAAAGTAGTAAAATGGATCAAAACTCACTTAAATGTTTCCCTTAGCGACATAAATTTTAGGCTCAATTATGGTCATAAGTGGAGGACTACCTGTAATAAGCTATTTTGTTTAAATATGTGGATGTCATAGAAACCAGTAAAAATGTAAAAACAAGTCATACTTGCTGAGTGGAGCAAACAGCATTTAAAACCTTCATTTTCAACCTATCTTCATTTTTTATTCATTTATTACAGGCTATATACTGGTTACTTTTATCCTGTCTGGGTGCTTACAGTACTGAGAACCATTTAATCCGGACATATAAAAGCACTAAATAGTATCATGTGATAAAAGAAAAAAAGACTGGGAAACCAACTGACATTTCTCTAGATAATTATTCTTGTAATTGCCTACTTCAAAAACAAACAACTCATGTTACAGCAAGAAAAGAACGGGAAACAATACTTTCTGTGCTTTAATAGAACACTTAACCTTCCCATATGAAATCCTAAAACTTCAAAAGTTCTGTTTAAAAGTTCTTGTAATGAGATTCTCCAAGGTCATTATGAGTTAGGTGGCTTATAAATATGATTTATAAAAAAAACACACTCTTCTCCATCAGCACTAGACATAAATGTATCAGTAGGGGCAGTTTCAAATATTTTACATTTCTTAAGGGCTCTTCAACAGAATACAGCTACAATGCTATTACTCAAGGCAGAAGTGGACATAAATGTATGCAAGCTGAAATAATTCCTCACCACTTTTCAGGTCCCTATTCTGAATTGAAGTAGAGATTTTGAGAGAAAAGCAGAGAGAACACTTCCTTTGATGCCGGTCCAGTTACTAGCAGTAGAAGATTCTCAGCATCATGCTGTGGGATCCCAGATTCTACTGCTAGTAACTGGCACTAAAGGAAGTGTTCTCCTCTATGCTTTTCTCTCAAAATCCCTACTTTAATGCAGAATAGGGACCTGAAATGTGGTGAGGGATTAATTTAGCTTGCATACATTTAGGTCTGCTTCTACCCTGGATAACAGCGTTTTAGTGCTATTCTGTTGAAGAGCCCTTAGAAATCTAAAATATTTGAATCTTCCCTGACTGATATATTTGTGTCCAGTGCTAATGGAGAAGAGTGTTTTTTTATAAATCATATTTATAAGCCACCTAACTTATAATGACCATAGAGCAGAGGTGTCAAACTCAATTTCACTGAGGGCCGCATCAGCATTGCAGCTGCCCTGGGGGGGGCAGGTGGGTGTGGCCAGAGTAGATGCAGCCTACTGGGTGGGGGTGGATGGAGTGGGCATGGCCTACTGGGTGGGCGTGGCCAGTTCTACATCATTCATGTCAAGGGTGCCTATGGGGGCTTGGGCAGGAGTGGGACAGATCTGAGAGTCTCTGGCAGAAGGAGGTGGGACTGGGGCAAGTGCAAAGGCACCGGGGCAAGTGCCAAGATGGCCACCACAAAATTGTACATGGGCTCCCGGCTGGCCTGGGCCACGACCAAGGTAGCGGGGGCCGTTCCCTCACTGTTTCCAGGATGGCTTCGCGGGCCACATAAAACCACTTCGCGGGCCGCATCCAGCCCCCGGGCCTTCTGTTTGACATGTCTGCCATAGAGAGTCAATCCTAACCAAACCCTAAACCTAACTGTAACCCTAATCATATCCTTTTTGGGGCCTCTGGGAAAGACATAGTCT